GAGCCAACAACTCTTTTTAGACTTCAGTCCTCTTCATAGTTTTATGAGAGAACCTGCATGCCTGTAACTCAGAAGAAACATTAAGCACTTTTTGGAGCATATCTCATTACAATTGGGTCAAAACCCTGATCTAACTTAGTTTCTGAAACTGGATTTTTCATAAGGGTGACTAAGGCTGGTTGCTTGTCCTGGGAGAAATTATGAAGTTCAGGCTCACATTATTTTGTGCAAAATAACTTTTATTTTGTAATAAAAATGATTTGAAATGGCTTTATAATAGCCATGAGAAGGGCGTCATGGCTCCTGCTGTCTGGGTTGTCCAGCGAGGCGCAGAACTCCTTACACGACCTTCTGTTGGATGGCAAGGCCCTGTTTGTAGAACAGCCAAACATGAAATTTCCCGGCCTGAAAGATTCCCGCATAACACTAAAGACCCTTGGCCTCTATGTCCCAGCCCCCGCCAGGACCAAGTTTAAACCACAGCAGGCTCCCACCCAGGCCACCCACTCTAAATATGAGCCCCCTTATGAAAAGTCAAGGGACTATAAAAAACACCCGTAGAGGCAATCCTGGTCTGCGCCCCAACCTGGGCCCTCCAAGGGTAAACAGGCGGGAAAGCATCAGTTTTGACGGGACGCCCGGGGCATAGCAGGGATCCATCCACAATAAAGCTTCCCTTCTCCAACCGATTGTGTGCTTTTCTCCCGGAGTGATCATGGCTGACCTCGGACCGATGGGTCCTCAACATCGTCTCCCAGGGCTACATTCTCCAGTTTACCTCTACCCCACCCACCCACCCTCCATCCCTGTCCCTCCTCAGGGACCCCTCTCATGAGACCCTGCTTGAGCAGGAGGTGAGGCAGCTCCTTGGCCTAGGAGCGGTGGAGGTGGTACCAGCGGAGTTCAGACGCAAGGGGTTCTACACCCGCTACTTCCTTATCCCGAAGGCCAAAGGGGGCTCAGGCCCATCCTGGACCTGCGAGGCCTGAACCAGTACATGGTAAAGCTCAAGTTTCACATGGTCTCTCTGGCCTCCATCATCCCCTCCCTGGATCCCAGGAACTGGTATGCCACCCTCGATCTGCAGGACGCGTACTTCCACATTCATATATTCGAGGGACACAGACGTTTCCTCCATTTCATGGTTGGGTGGGAACACTACCAATTTACGGTCCTTCCGCTTGGCCTGTCCACTGCTCCCATGTGTATGTCTGTGGTAGCGGCCTACCTCAGACGTCAGGGGGTCCAGATCTTCCCCTATCTCGATGACTGGTTAGTCAAGGCCAGCTCCAGGTCACCGGTACGAGATCACGTGGCACTCCTGTCCACGTGCACCAGTCTGGGCCTGTTGGTAAGCGACACCCAAGTCCACGTTAGTCCGGGTGCAGTGCATAGAGTTTATTGGGGCAGTTCTGGACGTGATGTTGGCCAGGGCCTCCCTCCCACAGGACAGATTCTAGACCCTAAGGGAGCTTATCAGCACAGTCACAAGATTCCCCGTGACCACAGCCAGGGCGTGCCTCCAGCTCCTGGGTCATAGGTTGGCGTGCACATAAGGGGTTTGCCACGCCAGACTCAGGATGTGGCCCCTCCAGCTCTGGTTGGCCTCGGTGTTCTCCCAGTCCAGAGACAGGATGGACAAAGTCCTCACTGTGCCCAAACTGGTGATTGCCTCTCTGCGATGGTGGTCCTCCCTGGGGAACATGCTCCATGGGGTCCCATTCAGGGGCCGGCCCCCGTCCATGGAGCTGGTGTCCGGTGCATTGGACCTGGGGTGGGGAGCCCATGTGGGGAACGTTCAGACCCAAGGTCTGTGGTCCGCGCAGGACCTTGCCCTGCATATAAACGTCAAGGAGCTCATGGCGGTCCGTCTGGCATGCGTGGCCTTCTGCTCACACCTGGAGGGCGGAGTGGTCAGGGTTCTCACAGACAACACGGCCTCGATGTTCTACATCAACAGGCAGGGCGGGGCCCACTCCTCTGCCAGGAAGCCCTCAGGCTGTGGGACTTCTGTATAGCCCACGATATTTGCCTGCAAGCCCACCAATTATCGGGCGCACGGAACTCTTTGGCGGATTGCCTGAGCCAAGACTTCTCCTCTCAGCACGAGTGGTCACTACACCCCGAGATGGTGCACAGGATTTTCCAAATGTGGGGCACTCCCCAGGTGGACCTGTTTACTACACAGCAGAACCACCGATGTCCCCACTTCTGCTCCGGGGGGAGGGGGGGAGGGGTTGGGAGTGGGTGCCATCTCCAGTGCCTTCCTCCTGTCCTGGTCGGGCCAGCTTCTTTATGCCTTTCCCCCAATCCCGCTGATTGGCAAGGTCTTGGAAAAAATAAAAACAGACAGGGCCCGGGCCCAGGCAACATTGGCACGGGACTGTCACAAGCCTGGCAGTCGCCCCGCTGGGGCCGTTGCCATCCCGCCTGGACCTGCTATCCCAGGACCAGGGCTGCCTCCTCCACCCCAACCTAGCGGCATTCCACCTCACGTTGTGGCTGCTCAATGTTTAGGCAGGGAGGAGAGGACTTGCTCGGAAGGGGTTTGACATGTCCTCCTGGAAAGCAGACGGCCCGCCACATGTCGGGCCTACCTAGCAAAGTGGTTTTGGTTTTCCCAGTGGGCAGCCCTTTCGGCCTTCCACCCGCCGGTGCAGGGCCATACGGTGTTCTCCTATGCCATGACTGGCAGATTCCTTAAGGGTTTGGATTGTCTCTTCCTGTATGATAGGCCCCCAGTCCCGCAGTGGGACCTGAACTTGGTGCTGACCAGGTTGACAGATTCCCCATTTGAACTGCTAGTTACATGCTCCTGGTCGCACCTTTCATTGAAGGTAGCCTTCCTGGTGGCGATCACATCCGCTAGATGGGTCTCGGAGCTCCAGGTTCTGACCTCTGTACCCCCATACACGGTATTCCATAAGGATAAAGTCCAGCTCCAACCATATCCTTCGTTCCTCCCCAAGGTGGTCTCCGCCTACTGTATGGGTCAGGACATTTTCCTGCTGGTGCTCTGTCCCAAGTCCCATGCATCCAGTGAGGAGTGCCACCTCCACATGCTGGATGTGAGACGGGCTCTGGCTTTTTATCTAGAACGTACAAAGTCGTTCAGGAAGTCCTCGCAGCTGTTCATCGCCTCTCATGTGTTCGTCCGATTTCCACTCAGCTGTTCTCCAACTGGATCACCTCGTGTATTCGTATCTGTTATGACCTGGCAGGAGTCCCCCTGCCGCCGATTGTGATGGCGCACTCGATTAGGGCGAAAGCCTCATCGGCTGCATTTTTGGCCTACGTTCTCATCCAGAACATTTGTAGCGCTGCCACATGGTCTTCGGTTCACATGTCACCTCGTATTATGCGATCGTCTCCCAAACCAGGGAGGACGCTGGGTTTGGCTGGGCTGTACTCCGTCCCGGGTGTCTGTGAACTCTTACCCACCTTCAACAGATATAGCTTGGAATTACCTATTGTGGAATGCACATGAGCAATCACTCAAAGAAGAAAAGACAGTTACCTTTTCCGTAACTGGTGTTCTTGGAGATGTGTTGCTCATGTCCATTCCACATCCCGCCCTCCTTCCCCTCTGTCGGAGTTGTCTGTCAAGAAGGAACTGAGGGTGGGGGGAGTACGCAGTGCCCCTTATACCGCGCCATAGTGGCGCTACTCCAGGGGTCGTTGGGGCGTTCCCCTACGGGTACTGCTAGGGGAAAAACTTCCGGCACCGGTGCACGTGGCGAGCACGCACACCTATTGTGGAATGGACATGAGCAACACATCTCGAAGAACACTAGTTACGGAAAAGGTAACTGTCTTATCTCCAATATGCTAATCCAGAACCAAATTGATAAAACTTCATAGCAGAATCTTGTTCATAGTGGGCTAACTGATTTACTAATACCATGATTTATGGTGCATAGTGTTTGTCATGACAGACATGGCTATGACAAACACACAGCTATAGATCTGACTATCTAGGGCCCTTAACAAACCAGTTAAGGTTTGGTGATTTCATTTTTAGAGCTAAATTTTCCAAGCAGATCCACTGCAGAGATATCAAATAAGATGCTTAAATGGAGAATTATTTTAGCTTCAATATGTAAATGGAGATCCTTTGGGCCATTCCTTGCTCCAACTAGGGATCTGCAGTGGCGCAATACATCCTAGGCATTTAAGTCTAGCACATTATTGATTTATATTCTATTGTATGAAGCTCAGCATAAATAAAAACTAATTCAGGTGAAATAGGTGACCAAGCCGTAGGCTGCAATCTTTTCCCTGTTACGTTCTGTTACCATTTTTATTAGGAACTGTTTTTTTTAGTATAAGACACATTATATAAACCTCTTATAATTGTTTAAACTTGAAACAGTTGTTTCAGAATTGTTTAAAAATGAAATATAAACATAATTCAGCACACCAAACCCGCGGTGTGCAACATTAGGCCATTGGGGCACTTCTTGGGTTGTTGAAGATTTCAGCAATTAGCCTTGTTTTTTTGCCTGCTCCTCAGGTGTGCACCCATAGCCTACATATACATATCTTATTGTTACTATATTGGCAGTTTGGGGCAGATCTAATTCTGTTTACATACATTTCATGTGCTTTAAACTGGACCTATTTTGCTAAAATTTCAAAAGAAAATGTATTACCTCTCAGCATGAAACTCCGATATATTTATTAACATGTATTTGGCATAATCTTTTGAAATATCAGACTTCTGGAACGAACAAAGTGAATATTATTTTATTTTATACTTGAGAACAATCTTGTGCATAAAGTATTATTTATATATAAATATTTATAATATTCAAACTCCAAATCTTGTTCATGAGAGGGTTACATACAAAGGTGGACTTCACCCAAATATGCCCAATACTTTCAATTTAAAGTGAATTTGTCAGTGAAGAGCATGCACCCCTGACAATAACTTTAAGTACTGTCAGCGATTTTAATTTACAAAAATCATATTCCAGTTATTTCTTTTTTCCTCCCTTTAGATCTGTAGTAGTTTCACTTCGTCTTCTTCCAAAGTTATTTGGTACATTTCAGCAATTTGGGAGCAGTTATGATACACATTGGATAACAATGTAAGTAAAAATACCTTCTCTCACCTACCCCCTCCTCCCCCCCAAAAGAAAGGAAAGTGATGATTGCCAAAGGGCTGTTGATAGGATAAAGAGCCTTTCACATCTAGATCACATATTCAAATCTGGTCCAGGTCTCAGGTTGATTATTACTCAAAGTCATTACCATCTGGTGGCCTATATGAAATGAGTTCGATGTCTTTAAGTTCCCGATGACCAGATTTCTTCATAAGATAAGCTTTATCAGAACTGAGGCTAAGGCTAATGTTTGGGTGGATATGCACCTTTAGATCCCCCTAAGTGGACTTGCTATAGAATGCTGGAAGTGCATTGATGGGGACAATGTGGGTAAGCTTGTATTGCCAGAGACTGTGCTGTACCTGTTCTGATTGTAAATCCAATCATTTTGAGCAATGCAAAATTCAGTAAAAGTGTTAATGTTTTTAAAAGTAAAGGCTGTGTAGTGCTGTTCTGCCTTAGGGGAAAATCAGGTTCAGTTTTTGGTCTCTGAGCTGGCAGAAGTTTTGAGTGCTGCAGAGGAAGCACACCTGGACTTTTTGCAAAAAGAACAGGAGTACTTGTGGCACCTTAGAGACTAACAAATTTATTTGAGCATAAGCTTTCGTGGGCTACAGCCCACTTCTTTGGATGCATAGAATGGAACATATATTGTGGAGATATATATACACGTACAGAGAGCATGAAAAGGTGGGAGTTGTCTTACCAACTCTGAGAGGCCAATTAAGTAAGAGAAAAAAAACTTTTGAAGTGATCATAGAATCATAGAATATCAGGGTTGGAAGGGACCTCAGGAGGTCATCTAGTCCAACCCCCTGCTCAAAGCAGGACCAATTCCCAACTAAATCATCCCAGCCAGGGCTTTGTCAAGCCGGGCCTTAAAAACCTCCAAGGAAGGAGACTCCACCACCTCCCTAGGTAACGCATTCCAGTGCTTCACCACCCTCCTAGTGAAATAGTGTTTCCTAATATCCAACCTAGACCTCCCCCACTGCAACTTGAGACCATTGCTCCTTGTTCTGTCATCTTCCACCATTGAGAACAGCCGAGTTCCATCCTCTTTGGAACCCCCCTTCAGGTAGTTGAAGGCTGCTATCAAATCCCCCCTCAGTCTTCTCTTCTGGAGACTAAACAATCCCAGTTCCCTCAGTCTCTCCTCATAAGTCATGCGCTCCAGACCCCTAATCATTTTTGTTGCCCTCCGCTGGACTCTTTCCAATTTTTCCACATCCTTCTTGTAGTGTGGGGCCCAAAACTGGACACAGTACTCCAGATGAGGCCCCACCAATGTCGAATAAAGGGGAACGATCACGTCCCTCGATCTGCTGGCAATGCCCCTACTTATACAGCCCAAAATGCCGTTAGCCTTCTTGGCAACAAGAGCACACTGTTGACTCATATCCAGCTTCTCGTCCACTGTAACCCCTAGGTCCTTTTCTGCAGAACTGCTACCTAGCCACTCGGTCCCTAGTCTGTAGCAGTGCATAGGATTCTTCCGTCCTAGGTGCAGGACTCTGCACTTGTCCTTGTTGAACCTCATCAGGTTTCTTTTGGCCCAATCCTCTAATTTGTCTAGGTCCCTCTGTATCCGATCCCTACCCTCTAGTGTATCTACCACGCCTCCTAGTTTAGTGTCATCTGCAAACTTGCTGAGAGTGCAGTCCACGCCATCCTCCAGATCATTAATAAAGATATTAAACAAAACCGGCCCCAGGACCGACCCTTGGAGCACTCCGCTTGAAACTGGCTGCCAACTAGACATGGAGCCATTGATCACTACCCGTTGAGCCCGACGATCTAGCCAGCTTTCTATCCACCTTACAGTCCATTCATCCAGCCCATACTTCTTTAACTTGGCAGCAAGAATACTGTGGGAGACCGTATCAAAAGCTTTGCTAAAGTCAAGGAATAACACATCCACTGCTTTCCCCTCATCCACAAAGCCAGTTATCTCATCATAGAAGGCAATTAGGTTAGTCAGGCACGACTTCCCCTTGGTGAATCCATGCTGACTGTTCCTGATCACTTTCCTCTCCTCTAAGTGTTTCATAATTGATTCCTTGAGAACCTGCTCCATGATTTTTCCAGGGACTGAGGTGAGGCTGACTGGCCTGTAGTTCCCCGGATCCTCCTTCTTCCCTTTTTTAAAGATGGGCACTACATTAGCCTTTTTCCAGTCATCCGGGACCTCCCCCGATCGCCATCAGTTTTCAAAAATAATGGCTAATGGCTCTGCAATCTCATCCGCCAACTCCTTTAGCACCCTCGGATGCAGCGCATCCGGCCCCATGGACTTGTGCACGTCCAGTTTTTCTAAATAGTCCCGAACCACTTCTTTCTCCACAGAGGGCTGGTCACCTTCTCCCCACATTGTGCTGCCCAGCGCAGCAGTCTGGGAGCTGACCTTGTTTGTGAAGACAGAGGCAAAAAAATCATTGAGTACATTAGCTTTTTCCACATCCTCGGTCACTAGGTTGCCTCCCTCATTCAGTAAGGGGCCCACACTTTCCTTGACTTTCTTCTTGTTGCTAACATACCTGAAGAAACCCTTCTTGTTACTCTTAACATCTCTTGCTAGCTGCAACTCCAAGTGTGATTTGGCCTCCCTGATTTCACTCCTGCATGCCTGAGCAATATTTTTATACTCCTCCCTGGTCATTTGTCCAATCTTCCACTTCTTGTAAGTTTCTTTTTTGCGTTTAAGATCAGCAAGGATTTCACTGTTTAGCCAAGCTGGTCGCCTGCCATATTTACTATTCTTTCTACACATCGGGATGGTTTGTTCCTGCAACCACAATAAGGATTCTTTAAAATACAGCCAGCTCTCCTGGACCCCTTTGCCCTTCAAGAGATGTATACCTCTTTTTATTTTGATCTCTCCCCTCTCTGGGAGAAAAGCTTTCTCCACAGTTGAATCCAATATGCCTCCAATATAAAGAATCTGAGTAGGGTTTAGACATGACTTTTCCCAAATCTGTAATCCCAGACTAACAGAAGTGAACATATTTGACATACATGTAGTAACATATCTTCCTTGGATGATACTTTTATTAATCAGTTATTAACCAGATACAGGTATACAGTAGAACCTCAGAGTTACAACGCCTCAGGAATGGAGGTTGTTTGTAACTCTGAAATGGTCAGAACTCTGAACAAAATGTTAGGGTTGTTTTCAAAAGTTTACAACTGAAGACTAACTTAATACAGCTTTGAAACTTTACTATGCAGAAGAAAAATGCTACTTTTAACCATCTTAATTTAAATGAAACAAGCACAGAAACAATTTCCTTACCTTGCCTATTTTTTTTAAACGTTCCCCTTTTTTTAGTAGTTAACGTTTAAACACAGTACTATACAGTATTTTGCTTTTTTGTGTGTATGTTTGCTACTGCCTGATTGCACACTTTCAGTTCCAAATGAGGTGTGTGGTTGACTGGTCAGTTCGTAACTCTGGTGTTCTACTGAATATACATGCTCTGCCTTCTTAGGTATGCTGCAACAAGAGGCATTTTGTAAACATCCTGGGTGCAACGGACAAACTGAAAGGGAGGACCTTGTACTGAAAACGGTCCTCTCTAACAACAATAATCAAGATAGCCCAGAACAGACAATTTGATAAGAAGTGTGAGAA